TCCAGATAGAACTCTATTTTTTATAAAACATACCACATCAGGCACTGTACAGGTAGTCTTCAACCCAATTGAGCCCAAAATTTCTGTTGTGAAGTGAGACATGGGTTAAGTGAATTTTGTCCCATTTTACGACCTTTCTTGTAATTGTTGTTACTCATGAAGTTGATGAGTAACACGGTTGTTAAGGGAACCTGGCTTCTCCATTGATTTTGCTTGTCAAAAGGTGATCACATGACCCTGGGACATAGGAACGGCCGTAAGTATGAACCAGTTGCCAAGCATCTAAATTCTGATCACATGACCATGGGGATGCTACAAATGTTGCCAATGGGAAAGGCACTTTTTACAGTGCTGTTGTAACTTAGAATGGTCACTAAATGAACTGTTGTTAAGTCGAGGACCATTTGTACCTCAAAAATGCAATGGATTTCTTAAATACCTTGAGATTAAAAGCAATACTGCATGGTGGTCCCCACACAAGTCCTTCTGAAAGGAAAACGCTTTGTATAGTTCCTACTTATCTATCTTTACTTTTCTTGAAGATTTTAGACTCCGGTACCTGCGCTTCCTCTTGTTGCCTTTTCAGATGCTCAAGCATTTGCTGGTACTCGGTCTCCTTTCGCAGAGCTTCCTCAATAGTAGCTTGATTTTGCTCATCGTAGGCCATAGCTACTACTGCCAAGATCAGGTTGATCAGGTAGAAAGAACCCAGGAAAATCACCACGACGAAAAAGAACATGTATCCTTTGCCAGCAGCCCGCAAGGTCTAGAAAACCAAGCAGCAATAACTAGTTAGTAAACAAGTGAATGTTAAAAGTTATGTGGGTATCTATCTCTCTATCTTTATACATCTTCTGTTGATGTTCTCTCTTAAATATACGGAATGAAGAAAAAAGTCTTGGATCTGTTATTCAGCAGTATAAACATTTTTTTTCCTGAATTTAATACATGTTGTATTCAACTCTACCACCATGTATTACTTGTTTAAAATTGGGTATGACGATATCAGGGTTTTCAATGCCGCATGTGAAGTTTAGCTGTTTCTCTAACAACATGGTTCATAGCAATTCTTCATCCAAGACATATTCACAATAGGACAGGGTAGTTTATTTTTCTGTTCTGACACTTGCATAAACAAGTTTTGGTCCTTTTTCACAATTAAAAGTGTTCTTTTTCTCACCTGTTGATAAAGGTTTTCCCAGTAATCCTGAGTCATCAGCCGAAAGAGTGACAAGAAAGCCCAACTAAAGCTATCGAAGCTTGTATAGCCATAGTCCGGGTTTCTACCAGCTGCTATACATTTGTATCCTTCTGGACACTGCCTATAAAACAAGATGATGAAATGAACATTTTTGCACTTTTTTTTGCACATGGAATATGTCTCAAAGCAAAAGTAAAGGAGTAACTGCATTGTGTACCTCAAAATACTGAGATGTATAATAACGCAAACTGTATGGAATAGTTGAGAATAAAACTTTATAGTTTTTAAACTTATTTAAATATCCTTGAAGAATTCGGTCTTTGAAAATTCTGATGAATTCTAACTGATCCCATATCCAGGATTAATATGTGAAATTACCTCTCAGATTTTACACTTCTTCAAATCAAATCAAATGCATCAATCATCAAATGCATTTTACAAATAGTTTAAAATAGTTTAAATTTCATATTTCTTCAAATCAAATTAAATGCACCAATCAGATCAGAAACATCAAATGCATTTTACAATGCTAGTTTTGGACTAAAATAGTTTAAATTTCATACTTCTTCAAATCAAATC